ATCGTAAAGCCCCACTGCGCTACTTATAGCTACTTGCGCCCTCTATATAGCAAACAATGCCTAATCGGTGCCCGTTGACCCCCCATGATCCCCTTTTTCTCAGAATGTTAATTGAGAGCTGATTTGATCAGATAACCACCTGTCAGTGACCTTGCAGGGCGGGCTAATCCCCCCTGGCAAAACTAGTACAGACCGGCTTTAAATGGCCAGACATTTGCAAATATAATCTTGAACATTAGATGCACCTTGTGTATACAGTGCATGGAAATAAGGGCAGGGCAGGGCAGTCATGTTAATTTATACGGTTGATGTACTGTTTACACGCTCCCGAGTCACCTCACACCTGTATGAGTAGTGAAAGGAACACGCCCACCCATTAGTCAAACATTAAACATCTTCTCTCCTTTGCATTTGTATTGTAATGTGCAATGTTTGCACAAAGCAATATTCCAAGTTTCCAACACTTTATTACCGACATGTACATTATAATGTGATACAATCTTCTGACAACAGAGGTTTAGGGCATAATTTCATTGCACTGCATATATCATGCACATATCATATAACATATATCATACACACAAAACAAACACATGCCAATCCAACCATATTAACAATCGTATCCTACTAGGAACCCATAACACCTGGGTGGAGAGTGGCAAATTGAAATAAATATCTTGTACATTTTACTTCCTCTCATTTATTTAAAAAGGCCGTTCGGTGACAACCCCAACATTTTCCTGTCACGCGCCTCTAGGTATGCTGTTTAAGCACGTTCAGTTGAAATGAAGCAGTCTTTGTACACTATTCGGAAAAGAAGAATGCAACCCTAAAACAAAGCCATCTGCTCGCATCTATTTATAAAATGACGATGATATGGAATTACGGCCCAGAGCACTTTCTAAGACATTGCACGTGTCTTGTTGGAAACTAGTGCATGTAGGAGGAGTGACTTCTGTTGATATTTAGTCTGGAGAAGTTCGTCCGTCGTTGAAATGGACCATGATGGTGGAAATGGGATATAGGCCTATAGCAGGGTGTTCACCTCGTAGGGTCGTTGCTATAAAACTTCAAGAAGGCCTGTCTTCATTAGCAGAAGTTTGCCAAATAATAATATGGATATTTATATAGCGCTGGTATCCGCCAGGCTCTGACGCTCATGGCGCTGTACATATTACTATCACAAAAATATAACTTTCTTAACTAAAATAAAGTAAACTAAAACAACACAAATTATTACGTTATATTGACATGATTAAATAGCACTGTTTAGAAAGAGATGGGTTTTTAGAGCAACTTTGAAGTCATGAAGGGCAGTTAAATTATGAATACTAAGTGGCAGCTTATTCCAAAGGGACAGCTAGACCAGAATGAGAACGCAATTTTGAGCTTAGGGATAATATCCCGAGTCTGAAAACACCGGGTTATTTGGCTAACTCGAGCTGATGAAGACAGGCTTAAGAAGAAAGTTTGTCCACGTCGTGACCTTGGTGACTTGTTCACGAATCTTGACATTTAACTTGAGATGAGACGTAGTTCACTGTCCGAGAGGGACGCCTGTAGACACCAATTGAAAGACAACATGTCAACAATAGCTTGACCTTAATTTTAAAGACTGATCTGTGTTTATTTGTCTATCTTGTTCTATCCTTTAATTTCAACATTCTCTTGTTTCATCTCAATTTTACTTGAACTTCTTATTGTTATGGTCTCCATCTTCAAACCGTCCCTTGCATTGTATGGGATGTCAAATTTCTTTCAACATTTTGTTCTATAAAGGCTAAGCTCTTCTGATTTGTTTTGTAATCTGCTAATGATACATGTACAAATGTACCTACCTCTGTATATTTCCTTTCTTATTCTCCTTCTCTTTCCAGCTTTTTGGGGGTGTTTTCTTGGTGTTCTGTGTTCACCTGTTTAAATACTTGTATTTTCTCCTTCTCTTTGTTTGTTTGTTTGTTGTTGTTGTTTTCTTCCTGCTATTCTCGTTTGTTTCTCACAAAGGCATCATTCAGACTGTCTGCCCATTGTTGTTGGTAAACTAGATGTACAAACGTATCTATGACATTTTCCTCGTCTATCTCCCTCTTTCTCTATCTGTCACTCCTGATAGTTAAACATTCAGTGATTCAGATTCGATAAAACATCTGCCTTGCTTTAGGGTCCCCATACCTATATGAATGTTGTCAAACCGAGATCATATCTCATATGGACACTGCAAGAACAATCAAACCTGCATTATGATTCACTCTCCTTGCCTACTGATATTTCTTTCTTTCTTTTTTTTTCTTCAGTAATTCGATCTTGATCTGGACTATCAATCATTGTAATTGGTCCGTCAAGTCATACCTTTTTCCGAGAGGAAAGGGGGTGTCGGTTTTGTGAAGGGAAAGGAAAAGTTTTGGTTTGCGGCAAGGTCCTCTATATTTGAGGTGAGGTCAGCCCTAAGGAGTCTGGGGAGGGGGGGGGGGGGGTTCACAGGGGAAGGGTTATTTTGTGAGTCATCAAGAATTCAACAGAATGGGGAAAGTCCTTTCTTCCCCCCTTGTTTCTTTTTTTTTGAGGATATTTGAGAGATGAGATGAAGGAGGGGGAGTTGAAGGGGTAGATTGTTCTATTGTATTTTCGCAGTAGTGAGATTTGTTGCAGTCACTTTTTAAAAGTTTATAAAATAGTTTTTAATAGCTTTCCAGAGCTTTGTCACTCTTTGCTCCTGTGTACTTTCCAGAAGAAAAAGTATGGTGCAGGGCTTGACACTATAGGGGCCAAAGCACGTGGGCCCTGGAGATTTAAAGATAAAGTTGAGTTCTGGTCATGCAATTGCATTGTGAAAAAACCGATGTGGAATCGATCAGAAAAGGGTGATCATCTAGCATGTAAGTATTGGTGTGTACTGCAAGGTTCTGGAATCATCAAAATGATAAGAAATTTTGCCCAGTCTTCGTAAAGTTACCATGCCATGCCATGCTTTTCAGGGAACTTTTTTTTTATCTGATGTTCTTCCACACTTGCATAATAACAATAAAAACTCTTACAAATTATCTTTCACCTCTCCCCAGAACTCAACCTTCTCTTTAACTCCAGACCAGACCCCCAAATCCTGAAAACTTGACATACTGTAGGCCCATTGCACATAACCCTTACATACATGTACATTCAATCAGAACCCTTTGTGAAGAATATGAGTGATGAGCAAAAGCTGCAAAGATGTCTTCTCCTCTCTCATGGCTTCCCCTTCCTTATGACTTCCCCTTCCTTTCTCTTCTTCTTCTTCTCATCTTCTCATCACTGCCTTCTTCCTTTCATCATAATGAGGATGAAAGGATGATGATGGGTGGCTGGAAGGCATCATCAGAATCAACCTGACAGCTCAGGAAGGGAGGAAGATCAATCACTTATAGCTTCATCAGACCCCAGACTTAGGGATGAAATTCTGTGTAAGGAAACTACGTTTAAGGAGCGTACATGTATACACACGATGGATAAAAACATAAAGAAACGTCATGCGAAGCATTAATTTTGATGAGATCAGTTGACATGACAGCTGGGCCCTGCTGCATAAAACTTACCATTGATGGTAACTTTGCCATCAATGGCAACTACCATGGTAACATGGCTCAGCAGCCAATCAGTTCCGCCCAGTTATACGATTTTTGTATACTCTGACGTACTGTACATACTAGAACTGAACCCTGATTTGTTATCAAGTTTTCTTTCAAACCGATGCTCCTTTCACTAGATATACCGGTACAACACTTATTTTATACAAGGTTCGCACTACATGTAGAAGCAAGGTTCATTACTTGTCGTATAGCTACATGATTCTTGTATAGTGATACAATGACTTCTGCTAGTATGAACACAGGGTTTAATATATACAACAAGCAATACTATAATTACTACGAGAATAGCCTGCAGGAAACCATTTACTGTCAGCTTGGAAGGCTTTTCCATTCCCCATTGAACCAGACATGTTAGATGAGCATAAACCATTCTTCCCCCTATCATCTTGGATTTAAAATAAGGAATTCCTTCTCGAGACTCTCAACATTAATTAATTGCCTGTTGAGAGCCAGAAGGGCGTTAAATCTATGTTACAATACATACGATGTAAATGCACATGTACAGTATACATTAAAGCCCCACTGCACTACTTATAGCTACTTGCGCCCTCTTAGCAAACAATGCCTAATCGGTGCCTGTTGGTCCCCCATGTTCCCCTTTTTCTTATGTTTTTTTAGAGCTGATTTGATGAGATAACCACCTGTTAATGACCATGCAGGGAGGTCTAATCCCCCTGGCCAAACTAGTGCAGACAGGCTTTAAAGTTAAAGGTAATGCCCTTCTGACTTTGCACTCTGCAGATGAAATTATCTTGGGAACAAGGAGTACCATCTGTATGACTCTTGAGTCTTTGTTTATTAATAAATTATTAGCTGAGAGCCAAAAAAGCCTTACTTTATGTGTTAAAGTGAATGTCAAGTGTATCAGTTAACAACCCTCTGGCTCTCCCTCTGCAAATGAAATTATCTTGTATTTATTTATTTATTTATTTGGTATTATTTCAACAAGTTAGAATTGTATTGTAGAACCTTAAAGGTAAAGACCAGTATTGGCAACGCCCCAATTTCAAAAAATGAAATGGAAGCTCTCATTACCAATCATGTGAAAGAATATGTTTTGACTAATACATGATGATAAAAAATTTGCCGGGAAACCGCCTACTAATTCATATATTTGGTAAATTTATTTCTCTCATGGTCTGGTGAGAGAGATAGGGTAGTCCCATATACATCTTTCTGTGTATAGTGCTTGTAACTTTACGAAGAATGGGCCAAATTTCTTATCATTTTGATGATTCCAGAACCTTGCAGATGCTAGATGCTAGATGATCAACCTTTTCTGATCGATTCCACAACGTTTCTTTCACAATGCAATCGCATGACCATTACTGGTCTTTACCTTTAACTCGGCTAAAGCCAAGGATGTTTGTTCTAGTAATCTAGATCCCTTGTAAATTACATTGAGCCAACGTCCTTCTGGCTCTCTGCAGTCTAAAGAGATCATCTGCATCTTGTAAAAAGGAGCGCCTTCCTTTCATGGTCGTAAATTGTCTCATAAGAACTGTGCGTACAATTATGCATGTATTGAGTTACACGTATTGAGTTATGTAATGCCCCTTTGGGCTTTCAGGATATGAAATTCTTTTATAATGTGTATGGCCAAGAGTAACTTCTTGGTATGGCACTGTATGCCCTTGTACCTGCCATTTTTGGATAGGTTTATTATGATTTGCTAGCTCTTTGTCCTTCCTTGGTATTTAGGCTGTAGTGCAGTGACTGAAAGTAATTTAGAAAGCAAAGACCAAAGAAAATGACTGAACCTTTCCTTTCTACTGCATAATGCATATTGTGTATGATTTATGAAAAAAAAGAAAGATGAAGAAAAAGAAAAGCATATATTTGCTTTAAAAACCTGAGATATTTTTTGTCAAATTTTCTGTAATGAATAAAATTGAATATCCCACTCAACAGCCTTTACTGGCCTTTGCATGAGTTTTCAAGTTTTCAAAAACCAATGTACACGTAGATGTTTTGTACATATTTATTAAACGGTTTTAACCGTATCTATAGATGCAGCTTTCTATTTGCGTGACTATTCATGGAGCACTTTTTATCAATCAAAACATTCCTTTACTTGGTTACAAAATGATTTCTGACTCACTGCATTTTTATGAATTTTAGAAGCATTCCAGGCTTCCAAACGGCAGTCGTATTATTAGATTACGTTTAGAGAATGTAGCCACATCACTCTGTTCCAGTTTATGTTCGTTGATTCTATCAAAGGCCGCTGATTGGCTAAATCTGTTTGTTCGATTGTCAGGAATTGGCTTGCCTCGACTCGACTCGGAGTGATGTCATTTTGATTTCCCATTCAAGGCACTTCCCCCGTACTTTGACCAGTAAGTAGACCAGTAAGTAGGCCTGTTTTCATCAGCTTGAGTTTGCCAAATAACTAGCTATTTTAACGGTTGCGATTGCAAATAAGCCAGTTGATGTGTCTTCATCAGCCTGCAGTTGCAATTAGCGGGATATTTGGTCGAGAAAATATCCTGAGAAATCTTGGTCTTGTTTCCGAAATATCCCGCTAATTGGGAAATAGGGGGCTAATTTGCGCCTGTCCGAGCTAGGTTTGTGATGATCGTATTAATAATAATAAATAATAATAATAATATTATTATAAAGGCAATAAAGCGCAATTTTTTAATTTCTCAAGGCACTATACAAAACAAAATACACAAAGCTCTGGTCTGGTGAAGAGTGAAGACGCAATTTCGAGCTTGGGATAATATCCAGAGTCTGAAAATAGCGGGTTATTAATATTTGGCAAAACTCTGGCTGATGGAGACAGGCCTAGTTTGTATGTGGTTTGAGGATCGTAAGCCCAGTCAGAGAGTTGCTCCCTTCCTGCTTTTTGACAGCTCCTGTCTCTTCATTGTTAACTTTCTTTCCTCTTTCTTTTCTTCCTCGTTCTTTCTCTCTTTTCCCCTTTTTACACATGTAGCATTCTCTTCCTCCTTCCCTTCTCTCCCTCTCTCTTTCTATCCCCTCTCTCTCTCCCCTCTCTGTCTCTCCCTCTCCCTCTCTCTTTCTCTTCCTCTCTCTTTCTCTTCCCTCTCTTTCTCTCCCTCCCTATTCCCCCTCTCTCTCCCTTAAATTACTTTAAAAATTACAAAAACTTGGCAAGGGTATGAATAATTTAGCTGTTGACTGTATTTTCATTTACGAATGTGCAAAATAAATAATTAGCAGGATTGCAGGTGAAGTATGTGAAAGGTCTTTTGGTACATCAGTCAAATTGTGAATGCGAGAGGGATGTTCAAATCCAACAATTGTGTCTGAATCCTTGTATGATCAATGGTCGATGATTGAAATCAATGTATTTTTAAAATACACTATCATTCTGAAATACTTACATTATAGTATTCTTGCAGGCTTTTATGTCGGCAGGTGATTTTATTAATGTTCAAAGTCTATTTTTGTTCCTGTTGTTGTTGTTGTTTTGTGTTTTAATAAATAAATAAATAAATAATTTTAAAAAATAGGGCCTACTTAAATTGTTGTCCATACACATGCATAGATTGATCTGCAATGGATGTAAGTAGGTTACTATATTCCATTGTTATACAAGTACAATGTGTGGTTATTCTACACCGAATGCAGATTTTTTTTCTTCTTGAGGCTAGTAATCGGACAGAAACTAATTGCATCTAAACCAGGCTAGCCGAAACTGGATGAGGAACGAGCGATCGCTGCGTATGGATTGTATTTCATGGTTGGTTGCTTGAAATGATGGTAACACTCTGGGACAGTATAGCCTGTCTTAATCAGCTCAAGTTTGCCAAATAACCCCTTATTCAACTATCCCGATGGCAAATTAACCAGTTGATTTGCGCCTTCATCATCAGCCTGCAGTTGAAATTAGTGGGATATTTGGTTGAGAAAATATCCCAAGAAATCTTGGTCATGTTTCCAAAATATTCCGCTATTTGGGAAATAGCAGGCTATAATTTGCGCCCTCCCGAGCTAGTTTGTATTGAGCGTATCGGTCTGGTGAAGACGCAATTTCGAGCTTCGCGATAATATCCCGAGTCTGAAAATAGCGGGTTATTTGGCAAACTGGAGCTGATGAGGACAGGTCTAGAGACAGTTATACGGACGGCCCATCCTGTTGATTGGTTGTTTGGCTGCGAGGTGTCCATCTGATTTGTTCCGTCTCAGCCCAGGCGTAAAACCCTCCATATTTATAGATGGATTTAATGCACTGGCAGATCCAGGAGGGAACAGGGTGCTCTCCCCCCCCCCCCCCAACCTTATCCCCAACCCTTCCCCCAACCCTTTCCCCTACCCTTCCCCCAACCCTTATCCCCCAAACCCCAAAAAGGAGTGGAGAAAAGGAGGAAGAAGAGGGCCGCTGATCTTTTTTTTCTTGCCACAGAATTTGTGGACGTTCTCCCCCCCCCCCCCCCCACTCCCCTAACCAGAGAATCATGGACCCGCCACTGTAATACTGATTGTGAAAATTGCTTGGTCTCCGCCTGGTTTACCCTGCCATGATTGGAAAGCCTAGTGGTATACAGCACCAGCTTGGTGAGAGCGATCTCTTTGTTTCAGAGCTTTGTGACCATCAATCATAAAATGCTTTTCTTCCTCCGAGATTGAAGCTTGAATTAGCAAGGGGTAGGCAAAATTCTAGCCATCATAAAATAATATTCACTTTCATAGTTCATACATGTGTAGTCACACTCTATTCAGTACTTTCACTATTTGTTTAACTTTCCTTCTGTTTTCTTTTTTTCTGTCCACCTCCTTTTTTGATATTTCACACAGGTATATTCCTTTTTTTTTCTTATTAGGGGGGGGGGGGCATGAAATAAGTCAAAAGAAATATAGGCATAAACTGACAACAATCATGAATATATTGAGGGCCAAACCACACTTATTGCCCGTCTTGCACTCAGCAGACAAAAACATAGCATACTATATGATGATAATAATAATGGCTTCTTATATATTAACACTAATATTTGTCGCGCGATATCACCCCCCCCCCCCCCCTCATGTAACTAGCTCTCGGGCACTTCAGGTACCCATTTACACCAGGGTGGAGAGTGGCAACTATAGATTAACATCATGCCGAAGGATGTTAGTACTGAACCCTGTACCTTGAGATCTACTGTCTGGTGACCACATCACCTCTATGGCACTCACTTGTTTTTAAAGCCCCACTGCACTACTTAATCCCCCATGATCCCCTTTTTCTTATGTTAATTGAGAACTGAGTTGATGAGATAACTACATGTCAGTGACCATGCAGGAAGCTCTAATCCCCTCTTGCCAAACTAGTACTGCCGGGCTTTAAATACTCTTGAGGAAGAACTAGGAATCCATTTTATATTTTTTGTGATATCAAAGTGAGGGGATGAAGAAGGAACTTGGGATGAAAAGGATACATCTGAACTGTACCGGTATGTACATGGAAATCATGGCATATGAATAAAATCATATGTAGAGTTGAAAAGTTCACCATCCACTTTGTTCACTAGGTGGTCCTTGATAGACCATTCTCGTATATCCTGCATGTGGGTCGCATTCAGACAAAGTTGATATTGTGTTCAAGCGATTTTTTGAAGCTAGAATCACAAACGTGAATCACAAATCGAAACACGGTTACTGCGGGAGAGCGTTCAAGTGATTTTTCATCAACGCTGATTCTAGCTCGTTTCAAGCCCAGCCACTGCTCATCACACTATGCAGTTTGACCCAGGAAGTATAGGTCAACTTTGCTGCATGCTTTTTGAATTTGTTTGCGGTCGACTCAGGCCACGATAATAACATCATACTGTAGAATCATGATTGAGATCTCCATTTGTTCAAGCCATTTTTAGCGATCGTGTCTCTGCAGAATCACGATACAAAACGCATCTTTTTCAGCGTTTCATGTTTGCGTTTTTAAACACGTTTATTTATATGACCGATGAAAAATCACTTGAAAACGTGTTATCTGAACGCACACTCACACGAAGTATAGTTGAAGAGAGATCCCCGTTTTGGCCCCCTAGCTACTGTCACGCTGTCCATCGATTCCGCTCAAAGACATACTCTTCGCCTGACTCATTCAGCCTCTTTGGTCGGCACTGTCAAGCACACTTCAAATCCTAGCTTGCCCTGTTCATACTTCATGCTGAGAACTTGTTGTAAGGAATAGGGTCATCAGTTGATATCATGGATCTAGAGAAAATAGGCACATTCGCACACATAACGAAGAAACTAAGTCCGATTGAAATTTCACATTGGATTTCCACTCATTTCCACTGACCTTGTAGATATGAAGCACTCCCTTGACCTTCATTAGATCTGAGAGGGCACAGCAAATTATTATGATTACCGGCAGGCATTGATTTTTTATAAATGCCTTTTGAGTCCTGATCAGAATTTGAGTTATTAGAGATTCTTAAATAGTTTAGATGGAAAAAATGAATTTCTGGGTGTCCTTTATTCAAATCTTACGATACATCATTTATTTTATTTTTTTCACTTTAACACTCTTGTTAAAAGTTGTATGAACTATGAATGAGGCATAATTAAAATCTACTGTATATAGATTGTTTAGAAAATCACTATTATCAATGTTCTTTGCCACATATTTTTTCACATGCATACATCCCTAATAAATTTTGGCCCCATCTCTACCCCCCCCCCCAACACACACCCAAAATTCAAACATGAATACACCCTTGCCATTCTTGCACTCGCAGACAAAATAGCAAACTACGTAATAACAATAACAACAACAACAATAATTATTATAGAATCTCAACCCCATCCCCCCCCCCCCCCAAAAAAAGTTAGCAGGTGGACCGCTGCGTGTGAACAAAGCCAATGATGGCCAATTTAAAACATGGATGCACCCTTGCAGCTCATTATGGTCTTTCCTCACCATTATTCCCTTGATGTTTCATCTTTTGAAAGGGGGTATAGAATGGATGCATCTGATCCTTATCAGAACACAGACGCCTATCTTCCTGCCATAGCTAACTGTTGACTGTCTATCTAACCCTACGACCCCTTTCATATGAAGGGGTCCGTACAGGTTTAATCCGGACTCGGTCCGGCCCAAACCCGAAAGTGATAGAAAAAGGTACATCAGCATCAATTTGGTATGTGCTCTGTGAGGAGCTTGACTCGCTTGGAGAGGAGGGTTGAACCCAGACTTAATCCAGACTGAAAATTCTTCATGCATGAATGGTACTATCTGCATAATTCAATGGGAATTAACAAGATTTATTGAACATTTTTCATCTGTAGATTCAGCTCATATTAAATCAAATTATTGTTTCTGTCCCCACTGAAATGTATAGGTGGGTGTGGCATTTAAAGTAATTCATATAGAAAATTAAAA